GGTGGTCCTGTTTTCGTAGGTATTGGGGGCTGGTTCTCTCTCTCATCAAAAAATAAATTTCTTATGTAATTTTTCCAGGTATCATTGATACTCTCTTTGTCCACGATTATCTCTCCATTGTCATTAACAAGTTTACTTACTCTTCTGTTTTTACATTTACCTGTAAATTCTCTTACCTTCTTATGCACGTTGAAGTCGTCGTATTTACTTTGGAGAATTTCGATTTCTTGGCATTTTTTCTCCAGTTCTTTCTGTTTGGCTTCTCTGATCTTTCTCTGTATCTCTCGCTGTAATGTTTTATACATGGAGTTATCGTTCTTGTTTTTCCTTCTTTCTTCCATTAGTTGCAGAATCTCTGTCGTCATCCATGTCTTATTCTTACCTTCTTCGTTCTTCATAAAATTGTCTTTAATGTCGTCTATTGTTTTCTTAAGGGATTCTATCTTATCTTCTGTGCTTTCCGTTGTATTATCGATTTCTTTATAATTTTCTATTTAATGTTTTGCTGACTATTTCTTTTACTTCGCTATATTTCAGTTTTCTCATGTCATGTTTTTTTACAGTTTTTCCGCGTATTTTCTTTAACTTAGTTCTATACACGCCCACTAAAGGATTGTGGTCAGATTGAATATCAGCGCCTGGGTAGGTTTTAACACTGTTGAAACTATTTCGATATCTTTTGTTAACAAGCATATAGTCTATTTGATTTCTAATAATAACGTCTTCTCCGTTGTCTCTAGGTGATTTCCACGTATACAGGCGTCTAGGCGGTAGTTTGTAAAATGTGTTTGGCACGATTAAGTCATGCTCAGCTGCAAAGATACTCATTGTTTCTCCGCGTTGATTTCTCTCTCCTAATCCATGTGGACCAATATGTTGCCCTTCTTTTCCGTTACCTATTTTTGCATTGAAATCTCCCATGATTATAAGGAGTTCGTGTCTCGGTATATCTCTTATAAGGTTGCTTATTTGTTTGTAGAATTCTGATATTTCTTCATCACTATGGTCTGCTGTGGGTGCATAGACTTGTATGATGTTTGTGTTCACCGGTGACGTATTTATTTGTAACAGGAGGATTCTATCGTTCACTGGTATGAAGTTGTTGACTTGTTTGGCTATACTTTTATGCGTGATAATTCCAACCCCATTCTCATATTTACCATTTTCTGATCCTGAATACTATACTCTGTAGTCTTCTATATCACAATAACTTGAGTCAGGCCACCTCATTTCACTTATGCCCATTATTTCTATTTTCATGCGTTCCATTTCTTTAATTGCGCATTGGATTTTTCCTGATTGAGCCATCGTCCTAACGTTCCAAGTGGATATCCTCTTCAGACAATTCGTGTGGACTTTTCTTAAAGGTGTTTTATTGGGTATTTCACAGGGATTTTGCATATTAACGACCTGAGAGGCCCTGTGGTCATGGGAATGACCTCTCTTGCCGGATCTTGGTCTCCGATGTCCATGATCAGTATGCGAATTTTTATTGAGTTGTACAACCATTATAATTGTACTAGAGATATCCATAGGGATCTTTAATATAGTGGTTTCTCGTTGCCTTCTATATTCTTATGCCGTTGACCAAACCATTGATTCTTCCGCCTTTGGGGCCGGTTTCTCAGCCCCAGGACAAAAGCGTGCGCTACCACCTACCAACTCGTCCGCCCGGAGCCGTTGGTCGGTAAGTGGGGGACTGCTTATACCGGCAATCACTCGGTCCCTATCTGCGTTAGCCATCAAAATTGATGTTACCCGTCCTCTACCGCGTGGAGGTGCAGATTCGGATTTTTCCTTCATCGAGATTAAGACCTTTCGGCATTTCCTAATCTCTCCAGAGCTTTAGAAGACATAGTATACAATTATATTAACATTGTTAAATATAATAACATGAATAATAATATAACTAAACATAAATATAAACAATTACATAACCTCACAAATCATATGTCTGTGTCAAGGTTAGTATTTTTAATAACCTTGTGTCTGTGTTATGTGTTTCCTTCTAAAACATGGCGCGCGTGCTCAAAAACTTCAAAGGCGACATCTGAGAGTGGGCATTCTGATTGTTTATTATTCTGTGACAGGATGAACCGCCCAAGTATTTTTTTCTTCCCCAGGTTCAATGGAACGGCCAGTACATAGACTTTAAAACGTAGAAAACTATGAATAGGATAAGAACGGGGGTTGCTCCAGTAAAATCAAACATGGCAAGATGGGAAAAATAAACTAAGATTATGTGAACTGTGACTGTGGAGAACCACAGATTATGGAACATCTTCTTACATGCAAAAACTGTCCTCATCGATGTACCCTCGAAAATTTGTGGTTGGGGTCGTCAGATACGGCTTTTTGTATATTTTGTGTATTTGCCGAATCCAAAATGTCAGTTCCGATCCATGTAATGGAATTAAAGTCAGCATTTTCTTTGCTACTGTGAAGTCGTCTAGAATAGTTATGTCTACTTACTTATAATAAATAACTTTTTTTATTTTATAGGAAAAGTTTAATAAGTCGTACGACGAAGCTGAAGATGCCATGCGGTTTGCTCTATTTAAAGAAAGATTCTACAAAATTAAAGAGCACAACAAAAAGTACGATGCTGGGGAAGTATCATGGAGAGAGGGATTAAACGAATTTACTGACTGGACAGAAGAAGAACAACAGAAACTGCTCTTACCGCCTGTTGAAAAAGATGTTGCATAAAAGTACATTTAGTTAAAAGTACACAAATTATGACTAAAACCTTGATAAGTATTAAGTAAAGTGATTATTCGGCAAATAATTGTAGTTTTTTTGAAACTTTTATTAAGGATGCCAAATTGCAGGTCGAGTCTGATACGATTTCCCTCTTTAACTTTTTTGGTTCTGGGATCCCATCAAACAAGGAGACTAGGTTTGTATGGTTCTTTTCAGAGCTTTCTTTCAGTGCGTTATTGATTATGACGTCATATAATGTATTGGATGTTTCGAGAATTATTTCATGTAATTATTGACGAATCTGATAGATGTCAGGGTTGTACTTACCCACAGGTAAAAAACGTATGGCAATAAACTATACTATGTCTTTTAACCAGGAGGAGTAAACCAAAAAGACAGATTCACACCCAAGAAAGTTACTAGAAAAGTCACCAAATACATCTTCTTTTTTTGTTGATTATCTCGGCCTTGCGGTAGTCGAGTCATCAATATCGGAAAACCTTACACGTCAATTTTAACCTAACTTTGTTTATTTATGTTTGAATAATAATTTTATTCAATTCACGTCCAATATATATTACAATTATTACAATAAAAAAAGGACGTTTTTCACATTTGGTCCCATGTATAAGTATATATTTAAATATCGGGTGATCCAGTTTTATAGATCTCCTTAGTCTATGGTATTTAATTATAATGAAGAGAATATTTTGATCCGGAGAGTCAATAATGTTACAGATCTAAGTATGGGTTTTCACAGAAAGGCTATAGTGGGATAAGATGGTCAAAAGTGCCCTTTATTTTTTCTGGACGCCATTTTGAATTAAAAAATCTGAAAAAATTCATGAAGATGTATCTTTATCTACAAAACAGCCTGATTTTTTTTTAAATATTTATATTGAAAATTGAGCTCATGAAAAATTATTAATGATTTTTTCCAAATTTTTATTAAAAAAATTTCAATTTCATGTAAGAAATGTCCACTCGCTTGACTCTCGGACAAAAATTGACGCCAATATAGCCGAACAACGAAATTTGAAAGAAATCCAAGGGTACCCCCTATGATGATTTTTTCAAAATTTTTATTAAAAATTTTTTTTTTTTATGTTTTGGTACATGCACCCGATCCAACTTATTACAAAAATGTGTCTTAGTCTGATCCGCTAACCCCAATTTGTCGGAATAGAGAAAAAATCGAACTAAAAATTCTCCAGTTTTTCAGCAAATACAGACCACCAAATGAAAATTTTTCTCACGAACCGTTAGATGTAGGAAAATTCTGAGTATGGCAGAAGAACGAGCGGTCAATTTTATGTAAGAAATGATTACTCGCTTGACTCTCGGACGGAAATTGACGCCAATATAGCCGAATAACGAAATTTGAAAAGAATCCAAGAGTACCCCCTTTGATAATTGTTTCCAAATTTTTATTAAAAAAAATTTTTTTTATGTTTTGGTACATGCACTCGGTCCAGCTTATTACAAAAATGTGTCTTAGTCTGATCAGCTAAGACACATTTTATAAAATAAAATGACAGAAGTTTTTTCTGTCATTGTATTTTATAAAAAATTTACTTAACTTAACGTTATTTTAGGATAGCTCTGATGATGACATTTATTATGTCGAAAGTATACTCAGCTTAATAAATTATTTTACACACTATCAATTTTATTGAAAACATACAAAACCTGCTTACCAGTTAGACCTATTTAGAAGTGTGTACAAGTCTTACAGTCTTTTTCAATATATAAAATACTAGCAGATTTCAAAGTTTTGTTAAGTTTATGTGTTTTTTTCGTCCCAGCTAGAATGTAGAAACAAAGTGGTTGCATTCAAAATCAAGATAAAGTTACAACTTTACATTTTTCTATATAGCTTATTCACCAATTTTATACTCTCCTTCTCCACCCAAGGGAGGGCCCTGACCCTCCCTGTGGACGCATATGTCATTCTGCAAAAATCAGTAGTGACTACAAACAAAATCTTGCAAATAAGTAATTTCATAGCAAACTCAAATTAAATTTTTTTATGTCTCTATATAATTATAACTAACAAAATTAATAAAAAAAAACTACATTATATAAATAAATTGAAGATCTGCAAGTTATTGTTTTTTGCCACACATTAAAAGTCACTTCCACCACAAGATGATTTATAAATAAATTAAAGATAACCAATTGTGATTGTGTAATAACTCATATTATTTCATATTTTTATGGATTCAGTTTTATTAAACCCACATTACCAGGCAGCGCATATAAAAGCCGCAACAGCTACTTTTGGAATTATTATTTATATGAACTTGCCTTGAATAATATTGTAATCAATAATCAGTATCTGGTGTTTTACATTGATAACAATGCTTTGTAAAATATTTTTATTTGCATTGTTCCTTGCAGTGGTAGTGGCACAAGTACCTGACCCTGATGAAACAGCCGAAGAAGCATGGCCAAAATACAAGGTAATATTCATTACTTATCCCCTCAGAATAATAAAGCTGTAGCTGGACATTTATCCATTTTGAGAAAACAAAGGCTCAAGTTTGCGTAACCAATTATGAACTCTAAAATTATTAATATCAATGCGGAATATTTTTTATTTTTCTAAAATATTCTTCTAGTAAATTTAATATTAGAGATATAACTTTAACTAAATCTAAAATTAGCAAGTGATAAATGAACATAGAACCTTGTTAAATTACATTTTCATAAATATGCATAAACATACATACACATCGCAGTTGACATCCCTGGCTCTCTGTATTAAAACTTGCAAACTAAAAAGTGCTTCCCTCGTTCCGAGTCCTGCTCCGAACCCAAATTGAACTTCACTCAAGTGTTCATCTAATTTGGTGTATATGCATAGTGAATGATAGTAAGGGTACTTTAAGCACATGGCTCATCAAACTAATTAATCTATGTTCTTCACATTTTCTAGCCTTTGGTATTTTATTAAGTGGAATGAATATTGATAGTAGCCAGTCTTTTGGTAAGTAACCAGTCTCGTAGATGTTGAATAGTTTCGTAAGAACTCTGATTTGGTGTGCCTTTAATAGCTTTAAAATTTCACTATGCACCTCATCATGTCTTGGTGATTTCCCATCTTTAATCCGCTTAATGGCCGAAGTTACTTCTTCGTTTGTTATTTCTAGGGGTCGTAGGTCGTTCTAGAGTCGTAGGGATTGTTTATTTCAGTTAGACTTCGTGCTACATCTTCGAATAATTTTTGCATATGTTCTTTCCATCTTCGTAATTGATCTTCAATGGTAGTCAAAATCTGGCCTTCAATGTCTACAACTATGCCTGTATTGCATTGCTTTCTGCTATTCTGTATCTCTTTAATTTTTTTGTACATATGGAAATCGTCATGTTTGCGTTGTAGTGTTTTAACTTCTGTACATTTCTCCGTCAGCCATGCTTCTTTTGTTTTTTTTATTACCTTTAGTATAGTTTTATGCAACTTTTTGTATTCGTTGTCATTTTTTTTTAACTCAGTCGTTAACATGGTTGTATCACACGCCGCCATCTTTTTCCACGAAAATGTCAGTTCCTATTCATGTAATGGAATTAAAGTCAGCATCTTCTCTGCTACAGTGAAGTCGTCTTAATTTTTTTTTTTACTAAAGACACTGAAGTATGCTTACATTAAAATCTGGTCAGTAAGACCAATTATCAATTTGTTTCTAACTTAAATTACTAATGAAAACTTAAAATTAGGTGTCTATTCACTAGTACCTTTCCTATTATTTTTAATAACTAGCATTAAATTTAGCATGCATACTCGCACAACACTTTGCTCTGCTTTTCACTCACTCACTATACCAGTTCAAAAGGCTTTGTTCTTTTGAGACTTCTCTCTAGGTTCGTATTGTCGAGGAGCTAGATAGCCTCGACGTTTACATGATGATGGAGTCGTTGTTCATGGCTCCCTGCAAATTTCTTGATTATCTGATTGACATCTTCCATCTTGAGGTCCCGGTGAAGATCGTTGTTCCTAACGTACCAAGGCGCATCTACGATGTTCCTTAGCACTTTATTCTGGAATACCTGGATTATTTTGATGTTACTAGGCTTGGCACAGCCCCAGAGTTGGCAACCATAGGTCCATACTGGCCTCAGTATTTGTTTATAGATTAGGAGTTTATTATTTATGGATAGAGAGGAATACCTTCCCATCAACCAATACATTTTCTTGTAGTAGATGCCTAGTTCTTCTCTTTTCTTCTTCACATGAGCTTTCCAGCGAAGTTTCGCATCAAGAGTGATCCCCGAGTACTTTGCTGATGTTGCAATAGGCACTTGGACATCATTTATTCTAATTGAAATATTATTAATTCTCTTATTGGTTAAATTTATATGGACTGATTTATTCTCATTCAGCTTAATTTTCCATTTTTTGGTCCATTCATGAATTTTATTTATTGAATTTTGTAATTTTTCTGTAGCTTCTTCGACGATGTCACTTACTGCCAAGACAGCAGTGTCATCTGCAAAGGTAGCTATGGTGTCGTCTTCTAGTTCAGGTATATCACACGTGTATATTAGGTATAGGACTGGACCCAATACACTCCCTTGTGGAACACCTGCTTCAATATCCTTGAGATCAGTGTATGCATCTTCTTGTTTAACTCTAAAATGTCTGTTCGCTAGATATGATTGTAATATATTTGAATATTGTTTAGGCATGAATGATTTAAGTTTATGTATCAAACCGTTATGCCAGACTTTATCAAACGCCTGTGCCACATCTAGGAAGGTTGCAGAACAGACTTATCTTTTCTCTAATGATCTTTCAATTATAGCAGTTATTCTATGCAACTGGTCAATTGTCGAATGCTTATTTCTAAATCCAAATTGATGATCTGGAATTATTTTATTTTCTTCAATTATTGGTAGGATTCTTCGCAGAAGGAGTTTTACAAACACCTTGGACATCACAGGTAGGAGTGATTTTGGTCTATATGATGTCACCTCATTGGGGGGTTTCCCAGGATTTGGTATCATGATCACCTCAGCTAGCTTCCATAAATCTGCAACATATTGTAGTCTAAAGGCAGCATTTATTAAATTTGTTAATTTTACAATAGATTTTCTTGGTAGATTGATTAGCAGTCTTTCGGTAATGAGGTCATACCCTGGTGCTTTATTTGGGTCGATTTGTTCGTTAATTAACTCAGCTACTTCTTTTGGGGAAGTTGGCTTGATCTATTTGCTTTGGTTTGGGCCAATCCTGATCATCGTCTTGGTCATCTTGCAACTTAAATGTGTTCTCTAGATGAGTGGCAAATCTCTCTGCCTTCTGCTGATTATTTCTGGCCTAACTACCGTCTTCCAGTTTTATTGGAGAAGAATGTAATATTGGTCTTTTAATTCTTTTTGTAGCTTTCCCAAAGCGAGCTCTTCCAGATAAGATTTAATAGATTCATTTCTTAATTTTCTGGATTTCTCTTTTGTTGCTGGCTGGCATTGTTTAGGTTAGTTTTGTCTCGAGGGGCTCTCGTTTGCTGCTATTTTCTTCTTAGTTTTCTTTTTATCTTTTATTAATTCACGAATTTCTTTAGGGTAGTTATTCCCTTTAACTTTTGTTTTCAGTATGGGAGTGCAATCCCACGCTGAATCTTGAATATCTTTGACAAATAAATCTAATTCTTGATCTATCTGTTCAATTGTCTTTAGTGGCACGGCTAAATTGATCTTTTCTTCAAGAGTTACTTTAAAACTTTCCCAGTCTGTGAGCTTATTAGTTAAGGTTGGGTTGTTCTCTTTTCTAATAATCATATCACTTATGGTTAGAATTATGGGTGAATGATCGGAGTTCATATACCATCCTTCACAAATATCCAAGTAATTGGATGAGATATTTTTAATTATGAAGAAATCTATTAAATCTGGTATTTTATTCCTATTAGTTGGCCAATAAGTTGGCTTCCCTGTAGATATTACATCTCCTTTCTGATCTTTGACTGCTGCTAATAGTTCTTTTCCTTTGGTAGTTGTAAGCCTAGACCCCCATTGAATGTGTTTCGCATTGAAATCACCCCCAATGATATATCTATTGTCTAAACTTTTCATAAAATCGATATACTGATCTTTTTTAATATTATGTCTAGGACGACTATAAATTGCACTTATGTTTATTTCTGCGTCTTTAAACCTAATACATACTGTGGTAGCTTGTATGTTTGACTATCACTGCACTATCTCATTTCGCTACATTGTCCGGATGTACTGTGTGATATACCTTATATCCATGAATTCTAATGTATAATTGATGGGTGAAGTGTGTCTTAGAAATTAAACACACATCTATCTTTTCAATATTTAGGATTGATTGAAGATCGCTATGATCTTCAGCAGTCCATTGGCATTCCATTCAATTATTCTAATTTCTTGGATCATTACTTGATTTTGAAATAGCTCCTTTGGCGCTGTATTCCAGACGAGTAACTCTGGTATTAAAATTTTCCAGCCGTATCTGGTCAGATACGGTTTTTTGTATATTTTGTGTATTTGCCGAATCCAAAATGTCAGTTCCGATCCATGTAATGGAATTAAAGCCAACATTTCTTCTGCTAAGTGAAGTCCTCTTAAATAGTTCGAAAAAAAAAAATACAAGCTGACGTTTTATTTTCCAATCTCTATAGAGCTCTAGAACATAATACTCACCTAATATCTAAAAAACTAAAAAAAAAAAAATTTTGCACTTATCCATTTGTTTTTAGTCTGGAACTATAGTCGATAAATATCAATATAATTTTAGTTTATTCGTTTTGTATTCGTATTAAGTGTGCTTTTAATGTCTACATTCTTATAATAAGTAAATTTTTTTATTTTATAGGAAAAGTTTAATAAGTCGTATGACGAAGCTGAAGATGCCATGCGGTTTGCTCTATTTAAAGAAAGATTCTACAAAATTATAGAGCACAACAAAAAGTACGATGCTGGGGAAGTATCATGGAGAGAGGGATTAAACGAATTTACTGACTGGACAGAAGAACAACGGGAAAACCTGGAGGGTCTCTTACCGCCTGTTGAAAAAGATGCTGTATAAAAGTACATTTAGTTAAAAGTACAAAAATTATGACTAAAACCTTGATAAGTATTAAGTAAAGTGATTATTCGGCAATAATTGTAGTTTTTTTGAAACTTTTATTAAGGATGCCAAATTGCAGGTCGAGTCTGATACGATTTCCTTCTTTAACTTTTTTGGTTCTGGGATCCCATCAAACAAGGGGACTTGGTTTGTATGGTTCTTCTCAGAGCTTTCTTTCAGTGTGTTATTGATTATGACGTCATATAATGTATTGGATGTTTCGAGAATTATTTCATGTAATTATTGACGAATCTGATAGATGTCAGGGTTGTACTTACCCACAGGAGCCCTATTCACTGACTTAAGTGAGTGGTCGTGTAGGAGTTCTCTCTCACAATTTTGCTTTAATGCGCAAGTCACTCTCCTGAAATTGTAAAATTCGTATTCACGAAAATGTAAGAGAACGCTCATATACTCCTATGCGAGTACTCTCCTACTCTACTGGGTAAAACTAAGAGAATTGCGAAATTTTAAGAGAGTGGACATGCGCCGTAGAAATTATAAGTGACAGAAGGCCAATAAAACGAAGAATATTGTATACAATAGGTACAGTTTATATGAAAGGTTATTGAAATTTTAAAAAGGTTGTTGACTCCTATTTGTATTTGGTTTTTATATATTGTTTTCATAATGGATGATGACGATATAATAATGTTAATGTTAATCGCCGATGTTGAAGAGGCGGAAGAACAAGCTGAAAATAATATACCATGTCTCTATTTCCAACAGGAAGACCCTTTTTTAATGTTATCTGAGGTGAATATTATTAAACATTTCCGTCTCAATAAAGACAGCTTTATATATCTTTGCGATGAACTAACGCCATTTTTACAAGTTCGCCAAAAAACAAAGAAAAGTATAATAATATAATAGTTTATAAATAACGAGAACGAGAATTGACAAAACAAGTGATACAATCAGATACAACTAACCTAACAGCAAAAACTTTGCTTCTTCATTTCGTTTTATCGTGAAAATGGTTGTGGCTAGGCCTACAGTAGGTACATTTGAACTAAATAATAGGTCAAAGTTACTCGTTCGCTTTGGCAACGCTGGGTAAAATGTAGTAGACTCGCTGAATCATAGTGAATAGGGTTTTTTAGTACCATGTGAGCGATGACCGAGAGAGTACTCACATCGATGAGTTGTAGTGCACGAGCACTCTCACGAGTTGCAGAATACGGATCCAGGTAAAAAACGTATGGCAATAAACTATACTATGTCTTTTAACCAGGAGGAGTAAACCAAAAAGACAGATTCACACCCAAGAAAGTTACTAGAAAAATCACCAAATACCTCTTCTTTTTTTGTTGATTATCTCGGCCGTGCGGTAATCGAGTCATCAATATCGGAAAACCTTACACGTCAATTTTAACCTAACTTTGTTTATTTATGTTTGAATAATAATTTTTTTCAATTCACTTCCAATATATATTACAATTATTACAATAAAAAAAGGACGTTTTTCACATTTGGTCCCATGTATAAGTATATATTTAAATATCGGGTGATCCAGTTTTATAGATCTCCTTAGTCTATGGTATTTAATTATAATGGAGAGAATATTTTGATCCGGAGAGTCAATAATGTTACAGATCTAAGTATGGGTTTTCACAGAAAGGCTATAGTGGGATAAGATGGTCAAAAGTGCCCTTTATTTTTTCTGGACGCCATTTTGAATTAAAAAATCTGAAAAAATTCATGAAGATGTATCTTTATCTACAAAACAGCCTGATTTTTTTTTAAATATTTATATTGAAAATTGAGCTCATGAAAAATTATTGATGATTTTTTCCAAATTTTTATTAAAAAAAATTTCAATTTCATGTAAGAAATGTCCACTTGCTTGACTCTCGGACGAAAATTGACGCCAATATAGCCGAATAACGGAATTTGAAAAAAATTCAAGGGTAGGTATCCTACCCCCTTTGATGATTTTTTCCTAATTTTTATTAAAAAAATTTTTTTTATGTTTTGGTACATGCACCCGATCCAGCTTATTACAAAAATGTGTCTTAGTCTGATCCGCTAACCCCAATTTGCCGGAATAGAAAAAAAATCGAATTAAAAATTCTCCATTTTTTTATCAAATACAAACCTCCAAATGAAAATTTTTTCTTACGAACCGTTAGATGTAGGAAAATTCTGAGTATGGCAGAAGAACGGGCGGTCAATTTTATGTAAGAAATGGTTACTCGCTTGACTCTCGAACGGAAATTCACACCAATATAGCCCAATAACGAAATTTGAAAAAAATCCAAGGGTACCCCCTTTGATGATTTTTTCCAAATTTTTATATAAAAAAAAATTATGTTTTGGTACATGCACCCGGTCCAGCTTATTACAAAAATGTGTCTTAGTCTGATCCGCTAACCCCAATTTGCCGGAATAGAGAAAAAATCGAACTAAAAATTCTCTAGTTTTTCAGCAAATACAGACCCACAAATGAAAATTTTTCTCACGAACCGTTAGATGTAGGAAAATTCTGAGTATGGCAGAAGAACGAGCGGTCAATTTCATGTAACAAATCTCACTCGCTTGACTCTCGGACGAAAATTGACGCCAATATAGCCGAATAACGAAATTTGAAAAAAATCCAAGGGTACCCCCTTTGACGATTTTTTCCAAATTTTTATTAAAAAAAAAAATTTTTAAGTTTTGGTACATGCACTCGGTCCAGCTTATTACAAAAATGTGTCTTAGTCTGATCTGCTAACCCCAATTTGCCGGAATAGAAAAAAAAATGGAATTAAAAATTATCCAGTTTTTCAGCAAATACACACCTCCAAATGAAAATTTTTCTCACGAACCGTTAGATGTAGGAAAATTCTGAGTATGGCAGAAGAACGAGCGGTCAATTTTATGTAAGAAGTGTCACACCAGGTTATGTGAGCACACATAACCTCAAAACTTAGTAGGTAATTCAACATTTTTCAACATTTTTTCTTCCACGTTTTCAAAATCTATTGTAAAAGTCCCCATTTAACCCTTTCATAAAAATAAAGTTCGAGAGTACCACGTTTTTTATTCTTTTCGCACCTTTTTTACCTTACCTCAAAATCAGATAGTTAGATGTATGCTTAAGAGAATTGTTTAGAGCAATGATAGACTTAGGAGTACCAAATCAGTTGATAAGTCTAACCAAACTAATCCTTGAAAAAGTTGAATGCAGAGTACGAATCCAGGGGAACTCTCTGAACCTTTTAATACAAATAACGGGCTACGTCAGGGAGACCCACTCTCCTGTATACTATTCAATCTAGCTCTGGAAAAAGTAATACGTACGTCACAAATCACAACTACCAATTCAATATATAACAAATCTGTGCAAATCCTAGCATATGCTGATGATATCAATATTGTTGGGAGAACGGAAAACGCAGCACGAGAGGCAGCACTAACGGAAGCGGCTACAAAAATGGGTTTAACAATAAACATTAATAAAACGAAATACATGAAAATAGGTCCGCAACCACAAATACGACGGCCACTTGTTATAGAAAACGACGTCATCGAAGCAGTTAACGAATTTGTATACCTGGGAACGCTCGTCAATACTGAAAATGACATTACCGCAGAGATAAACCGCAGAATTTGCACGGCTAATAGATGCTATTTTGGGTTTAATCTCCTTTTTAAATCTACAGTTATATCAAGAAATACAAAAGTAAAACTCTACAAAACAATAATACGCTCAGTCCTAACATATGGTTCAGAAACCTGGACTTTAACAAAAAGCAATGAAAACATGTTAGGATGTTTCGAAAGAAAAATACTAAGGTGAATCTATGGATCAGTAAATGAAAATGGTGTCTGGAGAAGACGATACAACTTCGAACTCTATAGAATATACCAGGAACCAGATATCGTAAAACACATTAAGATAGGACGTCTGAGGTGGGTAGGCCATGTAATGCGGATGGAGCAAACCGACCCAGCTAGAAAAACGCTCGTTGATAGACATATTGGTCAAAGAAGAAGAGGAAGACCCAGAATAAGATTCCTAGATAACATAGACCAAGATATGAGAAATGGAAATACGTGCTTGGTGCTTGGTGGAGGAAGGCGATGGATAGGGACGACTGGAATGGAATTCTTGGGGAGGCTAGGACCCATACAGGGTTGTAAAGCCAAAATGATGATGATGATTGGTATACTTTTTAGACTGGAAACCATGTTGGTTACTAACAATGACATTATTTATCGTTAAAAATGAAGTCTTTATATGAATGTCGTTTGGACCAGCCCAGGAATTTTTTAAGTGATCAAGAGAGAAGTTAAGCTCTTGGTAAGAAATTGGGCTTAAGATATGACTTTTTTCAGCTTCCACTAGGGACAACATTTGATTTATTGATACATAAATAAAACAATAATATGACAAATTAGTTTTATTAAACTAAAATATTATCAAAGTTACGTTCTGGTATAAAATTATTTTATTTTCATCGTTTATGACAGTTTACTGTTGTGGTAAAACTTGTTTGCCCTTTGATCTACCGACGACTTCTTCTGGTGTACGATCAGCAAATTGGTTGATGCCTAAATAATAAGTGACCAGTCCTTTGTCGTATTTAGCGTTGTGTTCTTTGATCAAATCTAATGTTTTTATAAAAAGGGATTTACGGTATTCTTCTTCTTCTTTGGTTCCGTAAACTCTTTGATAATCTCCTGAAAAAAGTAATTAAATTTTATTTAGTTTTGATATTTTGTAAACCGATCGAAAATAATTATTGAGGTTAGAAAGAACTACTTATAGTGAAAATCGATTAATTTGTAGGTTTACCTAAAGTTTTATTTGCAGGGATATCAACTCTACCTTTACTTTTACAACATTTATTTTCATATACATATTACATCTGGTTTTATACAGTTTTATAGAATTTTTCTGTCAAAAATTATTATTTGTAGATGTCATTTCCAAATATAATAATAGAATAAAATAAATTATGTCAATATTAAGTCACTAGTAAAGTATGATATTCCAACAACATATACAAACCTAATTATGCAATTCTTGCTCAATAGAAATATTT